ATACAATACACAACTAGTATAACAGCACATGATTTTACATGTGCATTACAAAGTTTTGCCAGCATTACTGGGCTTATTGTATTTTTTCGAAAAAGTACACAAGCTATTCAATACATTCGTGCTTGTTCTAATGATAATACATTTAGATTTACTCTTCCAACTTTCACACGATGGAATTCATTTTTTATCTCATTACAACAATTACAAAGTAAAGAACAGTATTTGAAAGATATCGCATATGAAATTGAGTCACGAATTGACAAATCTGTTATATCAATACTTAAAAATAATGAATTCTGGAATCATTTAAGAATCATTATTCAGATATTAAAGCCTTATTCACTTACTCCTATTATCTTAGAATCCTACTCTAGCTGATGCAGTATATTTATAGGCCCGAACACAAATGAGTATCAATATGATTGAGGATGATAATTTTCAGTTTTATATTAATACACGTATTCAACATAGATGGAATCGAATGTATAGTCCAATTTTACTTGTTTGTTGGTCACTTCACCCAAAATATGTTCTTGCAAAGGCTATTCGTCCAGAGCTTATTACAATTATAAAAAAGGAAGCAAGCTGTTTATTTGAGCGTCTATTTCATAATAAGGAAGTTAAAGAATTTCGAAGACAATTAATTGACTGGAATAATAAAGCTTATCCTTTTGACTTCGAGGGTAACTGGGATGATTATTTAATCAATGATCTAGTATATTTTTGGAACAATTTTCAAAATTAAATGACTGAATTGTCAATTTTTGCTGCATGTATAATGTCTATACCTCCTACATCTGCTGATTCTGAATATTTTTGGTCAGTCATATCAAATATTCATACTTTACGACGCAACAGATTAACTAATGAGCGGGCAAGCAAGTTATCTTGTATTCGTTGGTATATGATTCAAGATAAAAATATAGAAAAACAAAATCTTCAATGCAATAATGAAATTTTTAATTTTGGAAATAGAAATGACAATGAAAATGAAAACAAGTTTTATGATTCGGAAGAACAATTAGAAAATCCTGAAGAGAAAATAATGGAAACAATTGACAATATAAACAAATTTAATCTTAATGATCAAATTATGTACAATGAAGCTATTAGCGAATATAATACTCAAGTTACAAACTATCAATATAAAAGTGATTTGGCGAATTGGTTTCTTTTTGAAAAATTTGATAACATTTCACTTTAAAAAACATAAAAATTCAATTAAAATTCTTATAGCATATATTACAATTAAAAATGAATATAACAAATACTACTAGCATTTTTAAAAACAAAAAAAAAGTATAAATAGTTACATTATAAATTTAAAGCAAAAGGACTATAAACAATCTTTCAATTATATTTTTATTATACATAATATATGTACTATCAAATTTAAAAAGTTTTTATAGTATTGCAATAAATAAATAGGATGCAAAAACATTAAATCTTAAATATAACCTATACAAACATATAATATAATAATAATAATAAGTTTACTATATTGTTACTTATTATGTAAATATTTAAAGTAATATTTAGTAATTATAAGTAAAAATACGTTCAATGACTTTGCCCATCTCTAGTTACAGCTATTATTATACGTAATTGCTTTTCGGCCGACACAGTTAAGTAATTGATTCGGTATAATCATTACATGTACAGTATAAATTGCATAAATTACAATTTACATATATTTAATAAATTCATAAATTACAATTTACATATATTTAATAATATTAAAGGTGTTGATATTTATAATAATAAATTATCTGTAAAACAAGTATCATATGTAAAGTATATATTTTTTCTATATATGTCAGGTGGAAAAAACAACCCTAAAATTGCTAGTCTAAAAAATTTCGCAGCTAATCAAATTTCAAGATCAGGTGTAACATTGCATGATTAAAAAAATTTAAAACAAACAGTTGTTTTGTCAAAAATTGCCCATAATTCAAAATTTAGTTTATGAAACTGCCTTCTGTGTATTAACAAAAAATTTTCTCGCAAAATTTTGGTATAACTATAAACCTCTAAACCTAATCTACTTGCAATACCCTAACCCTAACCTAATAGCGAAATATTTTTTTTCTAGGAAATTTTTTTTCTTGGTTTTGTATGATGTAAAAAATTTCTTAACCTGGTGATACTAGTCTCATAGGTGGAAAATTACTATTATTTGTGTCATTTTTCAACAAGTAATTTTTGTTACATAAATAACATTGGCTATAAGCCCAGTAATGCTGGCAAAACTTTGTAATGCACATGTAAAATCATGTGCTGTTATACTAGTTGTGTATTGTAT